AACTGAAAAATGGGCAAAAGATCTGAACAGAGATTTCTCCGAAGAAGATATACAGATGGCCAACAGGCATATGAAAAGATGCTCAAAATCATTAGCTATCAGGGAAATGCAAATCAAAACTACAATGAGGTATCACCTCACTCTGGTCAGAATGGCTGTAATTAACAAGACAGGAAACAGCAAATGTTGGAGAGGGTTTGGAGAGAAGGGAGCCCTTGTTCACTGCTGGTGGGAATGCAAACTGGTGCAGCCACTATGGAAAGCAGTATGGAGTATCCTCAGAAAATTAAGGATAGATCTACCATATGATCCAGCTATCCCACTGCTGGGTATTTATCCAAAGAACTTGAAAACACAAAGGCATAAAGATACTTGCACCTCTATGTGTTCATTGCAGCATTATACACAATAGCCAAGACTTGGAAGCAACCTAGGTGCCCATCAAGGGAGAAATAGATACAGAAGATGTGGTATTTATGCACGATGGACTACTACTCAGCCATAAGAAATGATGAAATCTGGCCATTTTGTGACAACATGGATGGACCTTGAGGGTGTTTTGCTGAGTGAAATAAGTCAGAAGGAGAAAGTGAAATACCATATGATCTCACTCATAACTAGAAGATGAAAACAACAACAAACACATAGTATTGGAGATTGGATTGGTGGTTACTGTAGGAGAAGGGGGGAGAGGGGAGGGCAAAAGGGGTGATTAGGCTCACATGTGAGGGGATGGACTATAATTAGCTTTTGGGTGGTGAACATGATGTAATCTACACAGAATTCGAAATATATTATGATGTACATCCAAAAATAAATAAATTAATTAATTACAAAAAAGAAACAAAAAAACTAAAAAAATAAAATTTTTATAAAATTTTATAAAATATTCTTTATTTTCTGCTAATGCTTTTTCTCTTGTTGAATTATTTTTGCTTTTAATTTTTGCATAAAGTTTTTATTTTCTACAAATGGATAGCCAAGATTATTTTTCGAACAATTTGTCTCTCTCACTGGTTTGAAATGCCATTATTTTCATCATTTGCATGACTGTCTATACTGTGTTTAGACAAATGACTTTGTTTCTGCATGCTTCATTCTTGCCATTAGTCTACTTGCCTTCTCCTAGATTAATACACCACTACTTACCCACCATGGTTTTATTGTATATTTTGATACTTATTATGGCAATTCTTGCTTGTTTTTCTTTTTCAGTTTTAACTATCCTTTGCCATTTTATCCTTCCAAGTAAATTTTAGGATCACTATTCATGTTTCATGAAAACTATATTAGTGTTTAGATTGGAGTCTAACTAAATATGATGGTATTTGACATCTTTAAAATATTGAAAAAGCGCTCCCTGTATCTCCCCATTTACCCATTCTTTTAACTGTCTTTCCAGAAAAATTTTACACACAAATTTCTTTCCCATTCCTTGTTCAGGTTTTTCCTCCATGTTTCAGGAGGCACGCTTATCATATTCTTGACTTTAAAAGACGTATTTCTAATGGGGGTGTTTCCACTCTCTTTATAACCCATATGTTGAGTTTTTAATTTTAACGTAGTTTTTTTTTTTTTTTTCCAAAACATTTTTTTAACTGCCTGGTAATTTTGGATAGTCTTTTGTTGCTTGCTTATCTTGGGAACTTTGACTTTTAGCTCTTTAATTTCACATTAATCATTTTATATTCTTATCTAATAATTCCAATATATGGAGTCGTTGGTGGCCCAAAGCTGATATTTGTTATTTTGGTGATTCTCTCTCATGGTGACTTGTTTCTTGTTATGTTTGGTTATCTGTTATGGTTACTTCATTTCTTGCTGTTGCTAAACTGTAGGCATTTTGAGGAACTCAGTTGAAGGTGCTTTCCTCCAGAGAAGATTTGTATTTGTTTCTGCGAGGTGGAGATGAGGAAAACTACTGTCTGGAGTCTACTGCAGTCTCCTTTTCTGTCGTTGAGTTTGATTGAACAGCCTCCGGCCAGGGCCTCCACCTTGCTGCTGGTGCAAGGTTAGGCTCCTGGCTGTAGTCTCTGCATTTATGCCTACTCTTCACTGTCTCCACCTTAAATCTGTTTCGTTTTTCCTCTTTCTTCTTTCAGACCAGTGGAGATTGTCCCCATTCTCTGAAAGCCCAGCAAGGCAACAGAAATTATGCTTTCTTCAGAGTTGTGTTTCTGTGAAGCAGGAGAACCCCCTATGCAAACCTAGTCTGCGATGATTCCCCTGGTCTAGCTGCTTTACACCTATTTCCTTCAAAGCTGTTGTTAGTTTAAATATTAAGTGAGTAAAAAAAGAAAAGAAATTTAAAGTGTTTAAGTTTACTTTAAAGTAAAAGAGGAAGAGTGATCTTTGAAAGGCAAATTTAGAAAACATTTTTTTAAAGACTGGGAAAAATTCTATTATGTTTTTCAGTGTTATGTGAGTAATGATAATGGCAAAAATCAATTTAATTGAAATGTAAAAATTCCCCAAATGAGCTTTTGCTCTGGAAAAAGAAAATACCTGAAATAAAATGTTGGTATTAGTTAACTTGAACTGGGAAATCAATGAGATTTTTGCAGAAAAATTCATAGTGTTAGAAAATGTGTTGACTTTTTCAAGGTCAATGATAGAATGCACAGAGGCACATAATAGAAATCTCTGTGTTAGAGTTGCATGTGTTCTCTCATTGTTGTTGAAAAGAATTTAAAAAGGGGCTGGCCCCATGGCCAAGTGGTGCAAGTTCCACATGCTCTGTTTCAGTGGCCTAGGTTCGCGGGTTTGGATCCCGGACGTGGACCTACTCCACTCATCAGCCATGCTGTGGAGGCATCCCACATACAAAATAGAGGAAGATTGGCAGAGATGTTAGCTCAGGGCTAATGTTCCTCAAGCAAAAAAAAAAAAAAAAAAAAAAGGGAAAGAATGAAAAAAGAGAAGATAATGGTTATGGTAACAATTCAAAGATGAATAGCACAAGAGAAGACTTCAATTTCTGACTAATATTTTAAGTTGACTTCAGTCCTGGGAAAAAAATGGTAAAATATTCTTAAAAGAAGATCTGTTATATGACCTTAAGATAAAAACATCAGGTATTCAGTAAAATACATTTGTTAGCATATATCATGTCAAACAAAATTGCTTTCAAGCAATCACTGACAATGTTTTTGTGGATTATCCAAAGGCTTAAATTCTAAATAAATAGACTTGTTAATACATAAAGGTGTATTCAGGAGGACCAATGCCCTCAGTTCCTGTTATCCTCTTATCTGCAAATAGGCTATCCATTTTTGTGGATTACCCCTGGAGAGCGGAGATGCTGCACCGCTATCCTCAGAATCCCCTAGCAGTATGTTCTCTCTCTCTCTTTTTTCTTATTCTCCTTTTATATCTATCCCCTACAGAATGGCAGGAGTTAGTAGTAAATGTTTGATGAAACCAAACAAGTCTCATTTTGATAGAGTCATTTGAGTCTATTTTCTACTTTTCCCTCACTTTTGTATCATCATTAGGAAATTAAGAATCTTTTTGTTTTCTTCTAACTACTTTGAATTAAATTTGGACATGTTACCAATATGTAAATAGTGCTGTTTTGGTTTTAAAAAGGACACTGAAAACAGATCCTCTGCCCAGCCATACATCTATTCATGCACCTGCTTATCCACGAGGTTACCCATTTATAAATGTAATATTTATAGGACAAAAGAAAAGTTTTATTTGTTTATTTACTAATTAATTAACTATTAGAGTTTTATTATGCCTGTGTGAAATGATTCTGTCCATTGCTGGGAAGGAGCAGGGAGAAAGTCTTCAGTAAAATTAAACTGAAATCATAGTGATGTCCTGTATTTCTTTAGTTCAATCTTCACAATACAGCTCTTAAATTTGTTTGAATTGCTGTTATTTTGAAATCTACAGATAATAGATTGAGCCATTTCGCTATATTCTAGGCAGAATTGGCAGAATTTCAGAGCTGGCAGGGGCCTCTTTGTAGGAAGGTGAAGAAATAGAGAGGTAAAACCACACACCTAAGCTACAAACTCGAGTGGTCTTAAAACCCGGATCCTGGTGTCTGGAGTCTTTAATCCACTGGTTTCCAGTTCTAGTGTATATGAGTAATACAGTATTTGCTTTTGTAATCCTGCATTACTAAACAGTGAACAATGGAAACAAGATAAAGATTAAGCAGAATATTATGTCATCTTCATAATTTGAAAAGCTAAATTTTGCCTTGAGAGAAAATCAATAGCTTAGAAACTTTTTCCTCCTGATATAAAAATGAAGATGAAATAGGAAGCCCCCATATATGCCATTTCAAGAACTTGACTCAGTAAGTGTGTTTGGACAGACACCATGAGTTCTGGTACATCATCATGTAAATAGAAAGTTCAGTTTAGATGAAAATTTGTGGAAAACATAAATTAACAAGCGTTAATTATTCAATTGCAATTTTTAACCTTAGGTGTTTGTCAATTATTTATTTTTCCTACTAAGAATAAGCAAAACTCCTCTAAGATATCTGGAATGAAAATAGATATTAAATATATTCCTTTTCAGCTGTGGCCTAATTCTATTCCAAAAGCCAGCTTCAACGTAAAAGAAGAGGAGAATCCAGGATTCTCAAATAAGAACTAGGTATTTAAGTAACATTTTTCGGAGGACTTAATTAATAAAACTGAAATAATGTGGGGTATTTTCCATGACTAAAAGGATATAGACTGATTAAGAGAGAAGGGGAGCACAGTTATCTGGTTTAAGGCCAAGCCACGTGAAATTACTGAGTGAAATTACTGATTAAGCTGAGAGAAGATTTTTTTTTTTCAGAAGATTTTCTTTTTTTTTAAGATTGGCATCTGAGCTAACAACTTTTGCCAATCTTTTTTGTTTCTTTTTATTACTTTTTCTCCCCAAATCCCCCCAGTACATAGTTGTATATTTTAGTTATGGGTCCTTCTAGTTGTGGCATGTGGAACGTCGCCTCAGCATGGCCTGAATGAGCAGTGCCATGTCCACGCCCAGTATTCGAACCGGTGAGAAACCCTGGGCCAGAGAAGCAGAGCATGCCAACGCAACCACTCGGCCACAGGCCAGCCCCGAGAGAAGATTTCTTGTTCAAGGAGATCAGCGTTGACCTTAAAACCAAGTAGAGACATTCAGGTACAGTACAAAGGAAATACTTGGTGAATTAAAAAACAATACTGTTGCCTGAGTCCCATCCTCAGAGATTCTGATTTAATTGGCCTGGGGAAAGAGCCCAAGCATAGGTGATTTCTAAAGCACCATGGATGTTTCTAATGTCAAGGTTAAGAACCACTGGTATAGAATGTGGTGGTGCAGGGAAAACTGAAAATCTTATGGAGGTCACATACTGTGACATGATTTCTAGGGGAAGGGTGGAACACCGTTGTATGCATTGATGGCTGTGTATCAATGTTGTATCAATGTGTATCTTGTTGTCGTGTATCAATGTTGTCGCTTTGATTCTCAGCAGACAGAAAAATCAGAGAATTAAAGAGGGAAGGTGGACTTAATGGGATCATTAATTGAGAGTGTTAAGAGTTCTCCATAGGAAGAAAAGAACAATAAAAATTAATTTTAAGAAAAATTAATGAATAGCCACATTCTGATAGAATATTTCCAGTTTTAACTGCTGATAGCAAGAAGTAACCTGTCATAAACTAGAAAGGTTATCACTCGTCTATTTTCAATTTTTCATTTAATTTGTGTGACTAAATGTCAATGAAATATTAAAGCCAATATAAATTACTTGAACAACACAGTAGAAAATGATTCCAGGGAAATTATGGTCCATTAATACTGTTGAGTTCTTGTTAATCTGTGCTCAACTATGCCCCAGATTATTATTCTGACATGCAGTTTCTATTTTTTAGAAGGAGGTCCATACTGAACAAGACAGGATTTTGAATAATGAGGGTATGACTATCATTATTAATATGAGTGTGTGAGAATGATCTGGATGTCTCTAATCTTACGGATTTAACATATAAAATAACAGTTTATCAATTCTATTTTTATTTAAAACTCATTGAAATACATCTGAAAGTCTTACTTCTTGTAGAATTTGTATTTTTGAGGATAAGCATTTTCTGGAAAGTTTCCAGAATGCTTTAAAGAAAAATAAGTTAGTAATGATTAAGAACCAGAATGAGTTACTTAGTAAGATAATCTTGCCAAGACAACACAATTTATTTTATAAATATATATTCTTGGTGTTAGAAGGATTGGTAATGCTGTTTATCTGGTAAGGATTGATTAGGTTATTTTAAATTTGTCGTAAGTGTTGGTAGATGGAGAGGTTACCCTATACTGTGCATGAAGCATAATTATTTAAGCCATGCCAAGGGGGAGTATTCGGTAGCATAGACTGGCAATTGGTCAGTTCTTGTTTGAGGAGGAGCAAAGATCAGAGGCACCCTTGATTGTAGCTCTGACCACATCACACCCACGGTGGAGGCAGTGGCGGCCACTTTTCTGCTGAGCTCAGGCCTATGCAGTCCTGAATTGAATCTGTCACTGGAACATTGGGAAACTGAGGCCCCTAGAGGGGTAGGGAATGGCCCTCGACAGGGTGAGTCCAATGGGTAAGTGTGTGTTCTGACCTTCTAGGGCAAGACTGGGACCCCACGCGGAGGCTTGGCTTCTGAAACTAGGAACCATGAGATCTTGAGAAGCTCTTGCCAATCCCTCCCTTTTGTGGGAGCTGTTTTCTTCTTGGCCTCCACAACCTGAGCACACAACACGCGGACGCACACAAACACACACACACACGCGCATGCACACACACACAAACACACACACACACACACACACACATTGACCTTGGATGCAAGGATGGACTCTAGGGTGGGATCCGAAGAGAAGCAGACACAGGGCAAGTGGCAAGAGGAAGAAACACGAGGTGGGAGGCATTGCCTGCAAGTGACACCCGCCTGCAGTTTGAGAGGTATCGTCCTCTAAGGTAGGACACACGCCAGAGGACATGTCTAGCAAGTCCACGCTCCAGTCCTCCCCAGTGTGCAGACAGGAGGCCGACAGGCCCTGAGAGACACAACGGCTTATGCAGGATCCAGAAGAGGTAAGGAAGAGGACTTGTTTCTGCGTGAGTCTCAAAGCTGGGACCTCGGCCGCACCCAGACCCTCTAGGGAGCCTGTGAGACGGGTGTGTTGGTGTTCCTGGGTACGCCTACGACGTCGCATGGAGAAGGGGGGTGAGCAAGGCCATGGCCAGAGGACTGTTTGCATGGGTGGTATCTGAGGGGGGCACTCAGGTAAGGGCACTGCAGGAAATGAGGTCACTTCCTTGACAACAGACCCCAACAGACTTGGAACCCCCGCAACTAGGCAGCCACGTGCGCAAAGCCAGCTCACTTGGCTGGAGACTCTTGATAGAGAAACATGTTCTCCTGCTTTCTCCCGCCTGACCAGGGCTCTGGTTCCCAGAAAGCCCGCAGGGAGAACCTTTGGAGACGTTGTGGACGCTGGCTCAGCTCCCACGCCCCCCACCGCTGGACCTTTGGCAGGAGGTCCTCTCAGGTAACATGAGGAAGCCTAGAGCAGCCCAATCGAGGCCAGACCAGCTCCCCGAGCCCTCCCAGGGCAGCCCTCATCCCGTCCTCGTGAGTGTGGGGGCCAGAGGGACGTGTGGGCAGGATCTGCCCTTGGCCGCAGAAGGTTGGTGGGCTGGCAATAACCTGCTTTTCCCGTCACGTTCCCAAGCCAGGACAGGGCTGGCAGGACTGAAAGGGGACCCCTAAGCTGCCTCCTCATTCCAGGCCCTCAGGCTGCCGTGTGTTTCCCTCCTCGGTGGAGGTCTGTGTGGACCGTGGGGCGGGGCATGTGTGTCCAGAGTGGAGAGAGTCACAGAGGTGTGAGAGCCAGCAAAGACAGCCAGTCGGGTCTCTGAGGCTTGCCGCCTGGCTGCCGGGCACTGTCTTTCCAGAGCGTCACTCAGGAGACGGGCCAGCAGCTGAGCCACGACGCCCTCGACTCCACCACCCTGCAGGAAGGGAAGGTGCCCCACGCTGCCAAGCGAGGCCAGGGCCGGCTCAGGGTGAGTGCAGGTGCTGGGGAGACCCAAGCCCCAGGGCCCCAAGACAGCACTGAGGACCCCAGGTCTTCGAAGGCCCTGAGACAGCCCCGGGGCTCCTGCCTGGAGCCTTGCTCCCAAAGGAATCTGAATCCCCATCTCTTCCCCCGACCTTGCCCTGCGGGCCCAGCCCCCGTCTTGGCCAGAGGAGACGGCCCTGTCCACAGAGGTGTAGCAGAGCAGAGACATTTCTAGCCCATCAGCTCACGGGCGTTCAAGAGTCCTTTTGCGTTCTGTAGAGATTTTCCTGTTTGAACTCCCATCCTCACATGTCCATGTGGCCTGGCAATCCTTCCCCACCTTCTCCCAGTCGGACGCAGCATCCTGATGGATAGGCATGCTTTTTGCCCAACAGGACATGGGGCTCACAGGGTTCTTTCTGGTCCTCTGCCTTTGCTGTCCAGAGGAACACGTCCACGTGGCCTCTCGAGGTCAGGGCGTCGGGCCTCAGCAGGCTGCCCAACTTTCCAGAAGGGAGACCCATTAGCCCAGTGACTCAGCCCTTCACTGAACCCGCACCTTCTGTTGCCATTTCCACAGCACCGCCCTGATCACCCTGCCTGTCCTCCCGTCCTCATCCCTCCCAGCCCACGAAAAGCCTCTGTGTTCTCCTGTCTCGAATGGGCAGTTGGTCAGCCACCCCAGGGTTGATGCTCTTCATCCAGGGAGGGGCTGTCACTCCTCTGCCAGCACAAAGACCTAGGAGACCAAGAGGTTTAATCCTTCTCCACCTCACATCCTACTTGGAATCCCGAGAATTCTTCCCTTGCCCTGGGCAATGATGCCCACTTCCGGCCACAAGTCACCGCGGGCTTGGGCATTCGGTGCGACCTCCAGTCCCCGGCACTCCTGGGGCCCGCGGTGCGGCCTCTGATGGCAAGCGGCCCCTCTGTCTGACCCCAGGCTGAAAATCCATCCCCAGCGAAGAGCAAAGCGTCCCGCCTGGTGTGGACCGTCCAGGCTGGAAGGCGGCAGAAGCGAGTGGAGCACCTGGTGCCCGCCTTCCTGGAGGGCGACACCGCCTACGTCCACAGCTTCCTGAGCACGTATAGAGGTTTTGCCACCACACGACAGGTGCTGGAGCTCCTGTTTCAAAGGTGCGTGCCGTGCCCCTCCGCAGCACTGTGGGCATTCAGCCACCTACTAGCTGTGAGGCTGGGGATGTCACGGCACCTCCCCGAGCCTCGGTTTGCTCCTTGCAAGGCGGTCTGAAGAGAGGATCAGCCTCCAGGGGAGATTGTAGGGACTCAGGCAGGTGCTGCCTGCAAAGGCTTCTCGAGAAGCCTAACCCTCTGGGAGGGTCGACTGGAGCGGAGGGGCTGTGGTTGTGCTCATTGAGGATATTCCTCTTGCCTAAGGCGAAGCCTCCGCCTCGTCCCTCAGCGTGCCCGTGGCCTTCACTGAGTTGTTGTCTTCCCTTTGGAAAAGGAGATGGCAGAGCTCTTCTAGGTCTCTGACCTGGGTGAAGCCAGAGCAGCGATCCCTGGGCTGAGCCGAGGCCCCCGACCCACTCAAGCAGGAGTGAGGGGCCGGTTGGAGCTCCTTCCTTCATCACGCACACACAGAGGTCCCCACTAGGTGCAGAAAGTTTTCTAGGCACTGACCAGAATCCCGTGCACAGAGCAGGCGACAGCCATGCCCTCCAGGGCTCCATTCTCCTTGGGAGTGAGACAGCGCCGCTAGGCTTCTCACGCAGGCCTGATCCACAGTCCAGTCCATGCGACGTCCTCCTGTGTCTTCTAGATACGGTTGTGTCCTTGCCTATGGCGATGAGGACGGCGGACCCCTAGACCAACTCAAAAAGTGAGTGGGCTTTGGAATCCCTAGGAGGGCGCCCAGCGTCCACACTTGGAGGGCAGTTGCCTGCAGCGTCCCGCTCACTCATCTGCTAGAAGCTCCCCAGCGGGTGCTCAGCTCCTGCTCAGGGGGCTCAGGGAGTGCTCCGGGGCCACATAAGCCCCTCCCTGGTCGAGATACGGGGCAGGGGAGCATGACCCTCATGGGACACCTGGTGAATCAGGCAGCACTTGGCCCAGGAGGGAAAGTTGGAGGCAAGAGGAGGGCCCTGGGAAGCATGGGCGGGAGACAATGTCCGTTGTTCCCTCACTGGTCAGATGTTCTGGGAGCACCTCCTGTGTGCCAGGGAGGGCAATGAAAAGAGGAGACTGCACCCTCGCTGCCCTCACGCAGCTGACGTTCCAGTGGGCAGTGGGCGGAGAGATGCTCCAAGCAGTGTGTCAGGCTTCCCGAGGCCTAGGAGAGGTGACGCCACCACGGCACAGGGCTCCCCCTTCCAAAGGCGTTTTCCTAGCCCCTTCTTGGTGCCCTGGCCTAGCTCTGCCAAGACTGCCAGATTGGAGGTGGCCGCCAAGTAGGACTGGCCCCTGGACAGCCAGGAGCGGGAGGCCCAGGAGCCCAGGCCCGCACAGGGATGCCCGGGAGGCCAGCGTGCAAGGAAAGGACCCTTCTCTGACTCTGCTGCCCACCTGTCCGTCCTCAGGGCCATCTCCTTCATTCTGGGCGCCTGGCTCCGATGGTACCCTGAGGATTTTATCCAGCCCCCAGATGTTCCCAGCCTGGAACTGCTCTTGGCCTACATCGGTCTCAATATGCCCGGCTCGGAGCTGGAGCACCGCGCCCGCGTTCTTCTTTCCCGGCTGGAGCAGCCTGAGCACACTGATGCCAAGACTGAGGGTGAGGAGGACTCGGGTGTGTGACGTGGGCGTGTGCAGAGGGGATGGCGCTGCGCCCCCCGGAGCAGAGTGTCCAGAGGCTGGGGTTCGGCTGGGAGCAAGGGGCGGGCTCAGATCACTCTTGCCAGGGACTCGAGTCTGGGAAGACTTTCGGGGACGTGGTGCTTGGACTGAGACTGCTGGATTGGCGGCAGAGGGTCCCTTTCTTTGGAATGACTTGGGCGGGCAGTCATGTTGGTGGCGTTTTCTCTTCTTCCATCTCCAGCTGCAGCTCCACCGAAAGACGCGGAAGACCCTGAAGATCCGGCACCGTCTCTCCCTCTCGGGCCCAGCCCAGCTCCGAGCCGCACAGGCATCTTGCGAGCCACAGCCGGCTCAAGACCTTCAGCAAGCACTGGCAGCATCCCAGCCACTACCCTCAGCTCCTGAGCTGCAGCCCCAGAGAATCCTCGCCTTCCCCTAGCCATGGCGTGGGTTTTAAAGTTTTGTTTTTGGTTTTTCTTTACTTAACCTTTCCCTGTATTTTATCTCGTCAGTTCAATAAAGTTTAGTTCTTGGGTTCTTTTCAATTGTTCGCTGAAGTGGCGTGAAGCAGACTCACAACGTCACACCAACGTCATCCGCATCTAGTACCCGCCCATTTTTGTCCAAGAGAACCCGACTCCACCACCCTGCAGGAAGGGAAGGTGCCCCACGCTGCCAAGCGAGGCCAGGGCCGGCTCAGGGTGAGTGCAGGTGCTGGGGAGACCCAAGCCCCAGGGCCCCAAGACAGCACTGAGGACCCCAGGTCTTCGAAGGCCCTGAGACAGCCCCGGGGCTCCTGCCTGGAGCCCTGCTCCCAAAGGAATCTGAATCCCCATCTCTTCCCCCGACCTTGCCCTGCGGGCCCAGCCCCCGTCTTGGCCAGAGGAGACGGCCCTGTCCACAGAGGTGTAGCAGAGCAGAGACATTTCTAGCCCATCAGCTCACGGGCGTTCAAGAGTCCTTTTGCGTTCTGTAGAGATTTTCCTGTTTGAACTCCCATCCTCACGTGTCCATGTGGCCTGGCAATCCTTCCCCACCTTCTCCCAGTCGGACGCAGCATCCTGATGGATAGGCATGCTTTTTGCCCAACAGGACATGGGGCTCACAGGGTTCTTTCTGGTCCTCTGCCTTTGCTGTCCAGAGGAACACGTCCACGTGGCCTCTCGAGGTCAGGGCGTCGGGCCTCAGCAGGCTGCCCAACTTTCCAGAAGGGAGACCCATTAGCCCAGTGACTCAGCCCTTCACTGAACCCGCACCTTCTGTTGCCATTTCCACAGCACCGCCCTGATCACCCTGCCTGTCCTCCCGTCCTCATCCCTCCCAGCCCACGAAAAGCCTCTGTGTTCTCCTGTCTCGAATGGGCAGTTGGTCAGCCACCCCAGGGTTGATGCTCTTCATCCAGGGAGGGGCTGTCACTCCTCTGCCAGCACAAAGACCTAGGAGACCAAGAGGTTTAATCCTTCTCCACCTCACATCCTACTTGGAATCCCGAGAATTCTTCCCTGCCCTGGGCAATGATGCCCACTTGGCCACAAGTCACCGCGGGCTTGGGCATTCGGTGCGACCTCCAGTCCCCGGCACTCCTGGGACCAGAGCTGGAAACAGCGAGGGAAATGTCGGGGCCAGGGAGACCCCTTTCAAATCTTTCGCTTTCCTGGATGGGCCCTGGTAACGTTTTCAAAATGTGCAAATTTCAAAAATATTCTCATCGCCTATGAAACACTGGCGTTTATAAGAAGCGTATCGTGGAGTAAAATATATTCCCCAAAGTTTTAACGTTTGAGATAGATAATTAATGTTAATTTGGTAAAAGAATGACTTAAAGATGAGTCATAAGAAACGATGCCCTCGTTCTACCAAGAAACAACTGCCCAGAACAAGGGGTGGCCAGCTTTTCAGAGCTCTTCATTGAGCTCTGGTGCGGGGGCGTGTCTGTGTGTGTGCGTGAGTGTGTGTGTGTGTGTGTGTGTGTGTGAGGGCGGGGTGGGTGTGTGGGTGTGTGAGGGTGTGGTGCGGGAAGGAGCCTGGGGCTGTTCCTTCCTGGTACCTGATGCCCCACAGTGGGCTGTGAGTAGTCACACCTATCCCCTTGCGCGTTCTCAGGGACCACTGACCACATCCAAATCTCAGTAGTGACACGGCATCGCTTTGCCGTCCTCTGTGGAATCGCTCCAGTCAGTCCACACTCAAGAGGAGGGGATTACAGCAGGAGGTCTAGACCAGGAAGTCCTGATCCCAGGTGGCCAGTGACGGGAGAAGGAGAAGACCCCAGAACTTCAATGCCTTGCCCAGAATCCCAGATGAGGAAGAAGGCGGAGCCAGGGAGGAAGCCAGCTCTGCGTCCTCAAGGCTGGGGCTCTGGCTGCACACAGGCATTCCCAGGGGCCTCTGGAGAAGGCTGTGTTGGTGGAAGTGCATACAGATCTGGAGATGGCATGGGGGTGAGGGGGAGTATTCGGCAGTGTACACGGGCATTTGGTCAGTTCTTGTTTGAGGAGGAGCCCAGGTCCGGGGCACCCTGGATTGTAGCCCTGCCCACATCACACCCACGGTGGAGGCAGTGGCGGCCACTTTTCTGCTGAGCTCAGGCCTATGCAGTCCTGAATTGAATCTCTCACTGGAACATTGGGAAACTGAGGCCCCTAGAGGGGTAGGGAATGGCCCTCGACAGGGTGAGTCCAATGGGTAAGTGTGTGTTCTGACCTTCTAGGGCAAGACTGGGACCCCACGCGGAGGCTTGGCTTCTGAAATTAGGAACCATGAGACCTTGAGAAGCTCTTGCCAATCCCTCCCTTTTGTGGGAGCTGTTTTCTTCTTGGCCTCCACAACCTGAGCACACAACACGCGGACGCACACAAACACACACACACACGCGCATGCACACACACACAAACACACACACACACACACACACACACATTGACCTTGGATGCAAGGATGGACTCTAGGCTGGGATCCGAAGAGAAGCAGACACAGGGCAAGTGGCAAGAGGAAGAAACACGAGGTGGGAGGCATTGCCTGCAAGTGACACCCGCCTGCAGTTTGAGAGGTATCGTCCTCTAAGGTAGGACACACGCCAGAGGACATGTCTAGCAAGTCCACACTCCGGTCCTCCCCAATGTGCAGACAGGAGGCCGACAGGCCCTGAGAGACACAACGGCTTATGCAGGATCCAGAAGAGGTAAGGCAGAGGACTTGTTTCTGCGTCAGTCTCAAAGCTGGGACCTCGGCCGCACCCAGACCCTCTAGGGAGCCTGTGAGACGGGTGTGTTGGTGTTCCTGGGTACGCCTACGACGTCGCATGGAGAAGGGGGGTGAGCAAGGCCATGGCCAGAGGACTGTTTGCATGGGTGGTATCTGAGGGGGGCACTCAGGTAAGGCACTGCAGGAAATGAGGTCACTTCCTTGACAACAGACCCCAACAGACTTGGAACCCCCGCAACTAGGCAGCCACGTGCGCAAAGCCAGCTCACTTGGCTGGAGACTCTTGATAGAGAAACATGTTCTCCTGCTTTCTCCCGCCTGACCAGGGCTCTGGTTCCCAGAAAGCCCGCAGGGAGAACCTTTGGAGACGTTGTGGACGCTGGCTCAGCTCCCACGCCCCCCACCGCTGGACCTTTGGCAGGAGGTCCTCTCAGGTAACATGAGGAAGCCTAGAGCAGCCCAATCGAGGCCAGACCAGCTCCCCGAGCCCTCCCAGGGCAGCCCTCATCCCGTCCTCATGAGTGTGGGGTCCAGAGGGACATGTGGGCCGGATCTGCCCTTGGCCGCATAAGGTTAGTGGGCTGGCAATAACCTGCTTTTCCTGTCACGTTCCCAAGCCAGGACAGGGCTGTCAGGACTGAAAGGGGACCCCTAACCTGCCTCCTCATTCCAGGCCCTCAGGCTGCCGTGTGTTTCCCTCCTCGGTGGAGGTCTGTGTGGACCGTGGTGCGGGGTATGTGTGTCCAGAGTGGAGAGAGTCACAGAGGTGTGAGAGCCAGCAAAGACAGCCAGTCGGGTCTCTGAGGCTTGCCGCCTGGCTGCCGGGCACTGTCTTTCCAGAGCGTCACTCAGGAGATGGGCCAGCAGCTGAGCCACGACGCCCTCGACTCCACCACCCTGCAGGAAGGGAAGGTGCCCCACGCTGCCAAGCGAGGCCAGGGCCGGCTCAGGGTGAGTGCAGGTGCTGGGGAGACCCAAGCCCCAGGGCCCCAAGACAGCACTGAGGACCCCAGGTCTTCAAAGGCCCTGAGACAGCCCCGGGGCTCCTGCCTGGAGCCCTGCTCCCAAAGGAATCTGAATCCCCATCTCTTCCCCCGACCTTGCCCTGCGGGCCCAGCCCCCGTCTTGGCCAGAGGAGACGGCCCTGTCCACAGAGGTGTAGCAGAGCAGAGACATTTCTAGCCCATCAGCTCACGGGCGTTCAAGAGTCCTTTTGCGTTCTGTAGAGATTTTCCTGTTTGAACTCCCATCCTCACATGTCCATGTGGCCTGGCAATCCTTCCCCACCTTCTCCCAGTCGGACGCAGCATCCTGATGGATAGGCATGCTTTTTGCCCAACAGGACATGGGGCTCACAGGGTTCTTTCTGGTCCTCTGCCTTTGCTGTCCAGAGGAACACGTCCACGTGGCCTCTCGAGGTCAGGGCGTCGGGCCTCAGCAGGCTGCCCAACTTTCCAGAAGGGAGACCCATTAGCCCAGTGACTCAGCCCTTCACTGAACCCGCACCTTCTGTTGCCATTTCCACAGCACCGCCCTGATCACCCTGCCTGTCCTCCCGTCCTCATCCCTCCCAGCCCACGAAAAGCCTCTGTGTTCTCCTGTCTCGAATGGGCAGTTGGTCAGCCACCCCAGGGTTGATGCTCTTCATCCAGGGAGGGGCTGTCACTCCTCTGCCAGCACAAAGACCTAGGAGACCAAGAGGTTTAATCCTTCTCCACTTCACATCCTACTTGGAATCCCGAGAATTCTTCCCTGCCCTGGGCAATGATGCCCACTTGGGGCCACAAGTCACCGCGGGCTTGGGCATTCGGTGCGACCTCCAGTCCCCGGCACTCCTGGGGCCCGCGGTGCGGCCTCTGATGGCAAGCGGCCCCTCTGTCTGACCCCAGGCTGAAAATCCATCCCCAGCGAAGAGCAAAGCGTCCCGCCTGGGGTGGACCGTCCAGGCTGGAAGGCGGCAGAAGCGAGTGGAGCACCTGGTGCCCGCCTTCCTGGAGGGCGACACCGCCTACGTCCACAGCTTCCTGTGCACGTATAGAGGTTTTGCCACCACACGACAGGTGCTGGAGCTTCTGTTTCAAAGGTGCGTGCCGTGCCCCTCCGCAGCACTGTGGGCATTCAGCCACCTACTAGCTGTGAGGCTGGGGATGTCACGGCACCTCCCCGAGCCTCGGTTTGCTCCTCGCAAGGCGGGCTGAAGAGAGGATCAGCCTCCAGGGGAGATTGTAGGGACTCAGGCAGGTGCTGCCTGCAAAGGCTTCTCGAGAAGCCTAACCCTCTGGGAGGGTCGACTGGAGCGGAGGGGCTGTGGTTGTGCTCATTGAGGATATTCCTCTTGCCTAAGGCGAAGCCTCCGCCTCGTCCCTCAGCGTGCCCGTGGCCTTCACTGAGTTGTTGTCTTCCCTTTGGAAAAGGAGATGGCAGAGCTCTTCTAGGTCTCTGACCTGGGTGAAGCCAGAGCAGCGATCCCTGGGCTGAGCCGAGGCCCCCGACCCACTCAAGCAGGAGTGAGGGGCCGCTTGGAGCTCCTTCCTTCATCACGCACACACAGAGGTCCCCACTAGGTGCAGAAAGTTTTCTAGGCACTGACCAGAATCCCGTGCGCAGAGCAGGCGACAGCCATGCCCTCCAGGGCTCCATTCTCCTTGGGAGTGAGACAGCGCCGCTAGGCTTCTCACGCAGGCCTGATCCACAGTCCAGTCCATGCGACGTCCTCCTGTGTCTTCTAGATACGGTTGTGTCCTTGCCTATGGCGATGAGGACGGCGGACCCCTAGACCAACTCAAAAAGTGAGTGGGCTTTGGAATCCCTAGGAGGGCGCCCAGCGTCCACACTTGGAGGGCAGTTGCCTGCAGCGTCCCGCTCACTCATCTGCTAGAAGCTCCCCAGCGGGTGCTCAGCTCCTGCTCAGGGGGCTCAGGGAGTGCTCCGGGGCCACATAAGCCCCTCCCTGGTCGAGATACGGGGCAGGGGAGCATGACCCTCATGGGACACCTGGTGAATCAGGCAGCACTTGGCCCAGGAGGGAAAGTTGGAGGCAAGAGGAGGGCCCTGGGAAGCATGGGCGGGAGACAATGTCCGTTGTTCCCTCACTGGTCAGATGTTCTGGGAGCACCTCCTGTGTGCCAGGGAGGGCAATGAAAAGAGGAGACTGCACCGCTCGCTGCCCTCACGCAGCTGACGTTCCAGTGGGCAGTGGGCGGAGAGATGCTCCAAGCAGTGTGTCAGGCTTCCCTGAGGCCTAGGAGAGGTGACGCCACCACGGCACAGGGCTCCCCCTTCCAAAGGCGTTTTCCTAGCCCCTCCTTGGTGCCCTGGCCTAGCTCTGCCAAGACTGCCAGATTGGAGGTGGCCGCCAAGTAGGACTGGCCCCTGGACAGCCAGGAGCGGGAGGCCCAGGAGCCCAGGCCCGCACAGGGATGCCCGGGAGGCCAGCGTGCAAGGAAAGGACCCTTCTCTGACTCTGCTGCCCACCTGTCCGTCCTCAGGGCCATCTCCTTCATTCTGGGCGCCTGGCTCCGATGGTACCCTGAGGATTTTATCCAGCCCCCAGATGTTCCCAGCCTGGAACTGCTCTTGGCCTACATCGGTCTCAATATGCCCGGCTCGGAGCTGGAGCACCGCGCCCGCGTTCTTCTTTCCCGGCTGGAGCAGCCTGAGCACACTGATGCCAAGACTGAGGGTGAGGAGGACTCGGGTGTGTGACGTGGGCGTGTGCAGAGGGGATGGCGCTGCGCCCCCCGGAGCAGAGTGTCCAGAGGCTGGGGTTCGGCTGGGAGCAAGGGGCGGGCTCAGATCACTCTTGCCAGGGACTCGAGTCTGGGAAGACTTTCGGGGGCGTGGTGCTTGGACTGAGACTGCTGGATTGGCGGCAGAGGGTCCCTTTCTTTGGAATGACTTGGGCGGGCAGTCATGTTGGTGGCGTTTTCTCTTCTTCCATCTCCAGCTGCAGCTCCACCGAAAGACGCGGAAGACCCTGAAGATCCGGCACCGTCTCTCCCTCTCGGGCCCAGCCCAGCTCAGAGCCGCACAGGCATCTTGCGAGCCACAGCCGGCTCAAGACCTTCAGCAAGCACTGGCAGCATCCCAGCCACTACCCTCAGCTCCTGAGCTGCAGCCCCAGAGAATCCTCGCCTTCCCCTAGCCATGGCGTGGGTTTTAAAGTTTTGCTTTTGGCTTTTCTTTACTTAACCTTTCCCTGTATTTTATCTCGTCAGTTCAATAAAGTTTAGTTCTTGGGTTCTTTTCAATTGTTCGCTGAAGTGGCGTGAAGCAGACTCACAACGTCACACCAACGTCATCCGCATCTAGTACCCGCCCATTTTTGTCCAAGAGAAACCCTGTCCCTGGGAAGCAGTCAGTCTCCCTTCCTCCCACCGCAAGTCCCTGGTAGCCACTGAGTTTCCTTCTGTCGGACTCCGTGCGTTTCCCTCCTCCGGAGTTTGCATGGAAGTGCCAGCCTTCCAGAGGTGGCCTCCTGTGCCTGGCTGGGTCTGGTCTGAGGTGAGTGACTCCGGATGTTTGAAATTGAGATAGCGGTTTTCATTAAGAAGAAAATTCCCCGGGAGTTCAAAGATTCTGTGTCAAAAGGATGCCCAGCTTTTCCTAGAATGATGTAGATTTCTCTAATCTTATGGCTTTATCATTCAAAATAACAGTTTATCAATTCTATTTTTATTTATAACTCATTGAAATACATTTGAAAGTCTTACTTCTTGTAGAATTATATTTTTGAGGATAAGCATATTCTGGAATGTTTCCTGAATGTTTTCAAGAAAAATAATTTAGTAATGATTAAGAACCAGAATTAGTTGCTTAGTAAGATATTCTTTCCAAGGAAACCCAATTTATTTTATTAATATATATTCTTGGTGTTAGAAGGATTAGTAATGCTGTGTATCTGGTAAGGACTGATTAGGTTATTTTAAATTTGTCAAAGTGTTTGTAGATGAAGAGGTTACCCTATACTATGCATGAAGCATAAGTATTTCTGCAAGATGTTTGAAAAAGTCTCAGAAAATTTATTTGTCGATTATATGAGATCTGCAATTGCGTGAATAATCATGAACAAGTGAGGCAACTTTTTCCTGGGAGTGCTGACTTCTTGCACTTGTTCTAGCTAACCTCTTCATCAATGACTGGATAAAGACATAGTTATTAAGTGAGCCACAACCTCTGAGAAATTCAAAAACTGTTTATTCAACATCTACTATGTCCCACGTGATGCGTGGACAAATGAGGGAGGAATTGTTAATATAATTGAATTAGGATTCAAAAGGATATTGTCATCCTGAAACTTTGGCTCAAAATAGGAAAAATCCTAGTCTTAGCTTAAGGCATCAGATTTTTGAAGGTAGGACAGTAGATATCTGGCTTGATTATTCATGGGAATAAGATTCAGAGTTTTGCTTGATCAGGACCTCAGGATAAGTGAAATGCATGATGGAGTGGCTTAATCAGCTGATGCAAAAATAGCCTGCTTAAAGAAGTCACAGCAATGGTAACAGTGGTTTGAACACACATGGAATATTGACTCAATTCTGAGAACCTTGCTTAAATCAAGTCCTTGAGGATCCTAAGGTGTTCATCTTATATCTTGATAAGTTGAGAGATACTGGCTTAAGTTGAACTTGCAGTAATTGATGTGTAAATATATTGTCTTAAATTATCATAACCAGTAGGACTGAAAAAATAAAATGTTTATGTTGAGAGGAGTGAAAAGAGAAAGGGAGAAAAGGAGTGTAAGTGATTGCTTTTCTTTCAGAGGAGAGTGTCATTGGTTAATATGTGCTATGTATGCACACACACAGCTATTATTTGGTGTTATGGAGAAAACCATAACCTAGGAAGAGTTAAAGGAAGCTGTCTCTGAGGAATGGGACTTAGGGTTGAGAGGAATGGGTTGGGAACAAAGCCCTTCAATGCTATTGGATTTTATACCATGGACAGATCCTGCTATGGGTTTTAAAAGTAAACAAGGTCTGGATGACCATTCTCCTCTGGAGAGAAAGTAGAAACAAAGGCAGAGTGAGAGAATCAAGAGGCTGCCCTGGAGTGGGATCTGAAAACTGATATTACGGTGAGTGAGGGAACTGGGATTATTACTCTGGAGAAAAGTGTAAGAAGAGGCTTATGCAGATGTAGGAGAAGAGGGTGGAATGGAATCAACGGGTAGGAGAGCATGTCTTTGCCTGCACATGTTTAATAATTACTGTGGGAATTCCTGTTCTGTGGATTCCCGGGATCTGGACATATGTATGGGAGGTGTGTGTGTCCATGTGCCCAACAAAATTATGTGGAAAATTTTGTACTTATATGGGTATTGCATGGAGGGGGAGGGGATAGACCATCATTTTCAATAGTATTTTTTTTTTTGAAATAGCATATCCTTTAAAATGAGTTAAGAATGAAAGGTTTGCCTGCCTTATGGAGTAATAAATGCTCATTGAAATTAAACAGATACCATTTTTTAATAGATAATTTAGAAATAGTTCTTGAATTGGATAAGATAGACTAGTTTATTTGAAATAAACTTTTCTGCTCTTAGGTTCTAATATTTACACGATGTAAAAATTATAAGATAAATTTAATAATAAAAGGGTGATTCTTGAACAAATTACATGTTGGTCATCATGTTAAATGCTTGACGTGGGCTCTCATTCAATCCTCACAGCATCGGACGAGGAAGGTACTACATCAAAAACTCAGAGAGACAAAGAAACTTGCTAGAGGTCACCCTCCAGTAAGAGACAGGGCCAAGATGAGAACCCAAGATGTCTGGCCCTAGAGTTTGCCTGGTAGACCCTTTCAGAGGGGTTTTTCACTGTCTTCGTTTTGCCTCTTTCCCTTTCACTGGTCTTTGTTAAGTGTCTACTATGGCTGATAGTAGCAATACTTGGACCTGCAAAGCTGCTCTTTCTGTTTTCTTCTGTGTTTGTCTCATTCCCTCTGCATGTTATTTTTGTGTCTTGATTGTCTGTGCTTTCATAAGATTCTAATATCTGTGATTTATTTGAACTTGATTTCATTTACCATCAAATCTTTTATTTCACATACATATATATCTATATAATGCATATATACATACATATAATACATCTATATATAGAAAGAGAGAGAGAGAGAGAGATTGAAAGAGAAATGCTGTTAGTTTTCTATTGCTACTGTGACAGAAATCCGCAAACTTAGTAGCTTGAAACAGCACAAATATGTTTTGTTTGCTGTAGGTTAGAATTCCGGCACACGGCTTCATGGGCTAAAATCAAGGTGCTGGCAGGTCTGTCTTACTTTCTGGAAGCTCTGGAGGAGAATCTGGTTCCTTACCTTTCCAGTTTCCTTGGCTTGGGGGCCCCTTCCTCCACCTTCAAAGCCAGCAATGCTGGGCAGAGTTCTTACATCCTGTCACTCTGATCTCCCTCGTGATGACACTGGACTCACTCAAGTCATCCAGGATAATCTCTCCCTCTCAAAGTCTTTAATTTATCACGTTTGCAAAATTCCTGTTGCCATGCAAGGTAACATATTCACACACTCCAGGGATAGGACATGGATGTCTTTGGGGACCGTTATTCTGCCTACCACAAGCACCTACTAAATGCCAAGCACTTTGCCTGGAATTGAGACAAATCATGATCCCTTCCCTAGAAGCCATTACAGTGAGGAGATATTTGAATGGATAAGGGAAGTTAAAAAAGAGAAATCTGTGTTTTGATAGAAGTGTGAACAGTTATAGTAGCACTATGGAGGAAACAACTGCCTGGGGTCAAGGATGAGCTAGAAAGAAATTTGGCTAAAAAATTAGAGTTATTCTTGACGTATTCATGTGACTTTTTCCCTTTTCACCCAGGTTTTGAGACTTTGGGATATCCAGCACCAGCTGTCCATCCAGAGGATAGCTTGTTCTTTCCCCAAAAGTCAGGACGTGAGATGCCTCTTCCACTTTGATGAAGCCCGCGGACGACTTTTCATCTCATTTAATAACCAGCTGGCATTGTTAGCAATGAAAAGTGAAGCAAGCAAGAGGGTGAAAAGCCACCAGAAAGAAGTCACTTGTGTTCTTTACAATTCAGTCTTGAAGCAGGTAATGATGCTTTTCTGTCACTCTCCTAACGCGTCCCCACGTCCAGAGGCTCATTTCCTTAATTCACTCTAAAGTAACTGAGGACAAATATGGAAAAAGAAATGTGGAAAAGCAATGACTTAATATCCATGTGCTTTTTTGCAATAATGTGTGTTCAGGTGGATTTGAAGAGTGATTTTATTTGCAGCCAGCGACCACAGCAGTGCCGACAGCATTAGAAGGAATTACAATATCCCAGCTAAAACAAACACAACATGTAATGTAATTGAACTTATCTTTGTTGCCCACTCGTTTGGGTCTAGATGCCAAATGCAAGTGAACCTGGTTGTAAAATTCCCTTTTATGAACACCATCCTCCTGGATCCCTCTGGAAAGCTCTGAAATATGCATGAAATGTAATTAGCAGAGATCCATTTTGCCAGCATATTTTACACCAGTGGCTCACAGTGGCAGCCTGGAATGTATTCATAATAAAATGATTCAGCTAAATGTGGTGCCACTTGGTATGCAGCGCCAGTGTTGTTTGTCTCCCCGCCACTCTAATGATGCTCTGCAGCCTTTGCTTATGGGAGCGCTACCTGCATGGCAATGAAGAAGCATGACTCCTCTGGAGCTGAGACGCCACACAGACCACAGGCCATCTGAGAGGACAGGGTGGGTCAGCCTGTGGGTATCATGGAGGGAGTGGGCATCGGGGGGGGGGGTTAGTCTGCTGCAATGATCACCTCCAGCTTGATGGTAACAGCACAGTGGGAGCTGAGCAGACAGCCAGTATCCAGCTTGTGGCCAATTAAACAGTAACTCCAACCCATTCTTTCTTTCCCTTCTGCAGAAGCTTCTGCATTCACGCAGAAATGAGTGGTTCAGATTTTATGCAAGGGGTGGAAACCCTTTGTTAGTAATGAGCAGTGTGTCATGTCACTACTTCAAATACTCTGTTTTCTGGTTATTCTAGGAGATAAAAATCCTTTACAAAACAGTCCATTTTGAATTCCATATGTGGGAAACACTCCCTCATAAATGTTTTACTGAACTTTATGGAGGCAGCCAGTTAATTCGGCTCCCTTGTGGCTACTGAGAGATGTATTTGTTTCCGGGAGAACATTTTGCTAATTGAGATCTGCAAGTTAAAAAGCTGGGTTTGTGCGTGTATGTTAAGATCCTATGTTG